GAGAGAGAGAGAGAGAGAGAGTGAAGGGGGATGGGTCGGGGAAGAGAATAAGGGAGAGGAAAAGCATGCAAGAATGAAAAATCAAATTGGGTGGGAAGGGGTGGTGATATCATTGATACAATTTAACGAAAACCTGGAAGAGATAGAAAACTGAGCTGCCAGCGAAATGAAAGTGGGGATTTTATCCCTACGTACACTGCCATCAAAAGTTAATAGAATATAATAATAGGCCTATCAACTTTAAAAAATAGTGTACAGTTTTTAGCAAAACCAAAATAAAAGTTAAAAAAAAAACCTTTAGCTTCACCCTAGGTGTCATCCATCCCTCTGCAATAAGAACATAATGATAAGTTTCTCATCATATCCCAGACCATATTGCAGTTTTACACTATGAAGAAGAGGACTTACACGTTTTCATATAATATTAACGTTTCAGAATAACATTTATAGTTACCGTCAGAATACTGAGTATGTATAATATCTAGCTTAAGATTATTATTGTTTATATATTACTGTTCATTATATTATGCATAATATTACATGTGACTGCCTCGCTGCGCGCGCGCGCGTGTGTGTGTGTGTGCGCGCGCGCGTGCGCTCGCGTGTGTTAGTGTGTATGTGTGTACATGGTGAAACACCAAACCAATGTGTCAGGATCATCTGGACAATAAAGATATGTCTTATCCAAGGAGTTTAGAACTACTTTTAATCTCCTTGGTCTTATCTTAACTTACCTTCATTCACCCGCGGGGTCAGTTCTTCAAAGATTAGCCTTGGCGACCAGAGTATCTGAAGATCCCTTTTCACCGCCCCGGGATACAATGGGGTAATCGACTACGGTGTTGTTGTTTTTCATTGATCTTTGGAGTGAGAGAGCGGCGGAGAGACAGAGAGACAGAGAGAAGAGGGCGTTTACCACACCCACTGTACGCAGCGACCGACCACAGCGGACCCCACCTGGAGATTGATTGCTATGGCAGGGATGTTCTCGCTGTTTTTTACGTGACAAAAGGATTTTCGGGTCACCATAGAACACAGTGAAAATGGTTTCCGACCCAGCTTTCGAGGCGGCTAAGATCGGTGATCTGGAAACTTTGAAGAAGCTCCCAGGTGTGACCGAAAGACTTGTCGATGACAACGGAGCTGGTTGTTTACATTTTGCCGCGAGGGGTGGAAGCCTTGTTGTAATTGAGTACCTCATCAAAACGTTAGCTTTCTCAGCATTGAACAGATCAAAAACAGGAGCGAGTGCTCTTCATGATGCAGCAGCTAGAGGCAACACAGCTGTCGTGAAGTGGCTTATTGAGAACTCGGAAATCAAAGTGAACGACCAGGATGGATCAGGTGTCACCCCGATTCATTTGGCGGCGAGATACGGACATTTCTTGACGGTAGAGGTATGTGGAATAGATCTAGTGTACAAGCATTCAGTATGTGTTTTCTTCATGCGTAGGTGCTGGGGTATTGTTTCTGTTTGTTAGGATTGTGAGCTCAGTTTTCTGGTTTGACTTTGACTTTGTAAAGAAAAATATCGTTTCCCTTCGTTGTTGATTGAGCATTGCGACATCACGACTGCTGGAATGTGGCGGGACAGGGCACGGGAACATGAGAAAATTGTCGGTCTTTCTTCTGTTAGCCACACAAGATCTTATGTTTGACCATCCTCCTTGACTCTCATCATAATATATGGAAGTACCTCCTTTAGAACCTATTCCTAACCCTGACCCAAACACTGAACCAAACCCTGAACCAAACCCCCCTGAACCCAAACTTTACCCTAACCCTAACCCTACCCCTACCCCTGCCCTTACACCTACCCCTGCCCTTACACCTACCCCTACCCCTACCCTTACACCTACCCCTAGTCCTCTATTCTACTCTGTCTGGTAGTGGTTGCTCGTTATCGAATTAGTCATCCTCCCCGTATCTAGGCCTATCGAGATCACTGAATAAATCCCCTTTCATTGGATTGTCGTTCAACGGAAAATTTCTTTTGAAGGACAGCATCCAAGACTGTTGTACTAAAGGAAGAGTATCAAAATTACCTGTTAGTAAGCAAGAATCTTAAGATTTCTATTTTTACTTTTGGATGCTGGTATAAAGTACATATAGAGATCTATGAGATCATTTTATGTCAAATTAGGGAAGAGTAGGCCTAGCAATACGAGATTCTTTAAATATATGAATTCCATAACGAGCGACCACTATGAAACAGAGTAGAACAAAGGGGTGGGGATAGGGTGAGGGTTTGGGTCAAAGTTTGGGTTAGGGCTAGGTCTGTTCTATTGTGTTTTTTGGGGTTGTCGCTCGTTATGGAAGTCCTTCCCTTAATTATTCGTCATCCTCAATGGAAGGCTTTTTCACAACTTTACAACATAGAGCTTTTGTTGATTCTCATCATGTGTGTGTGTGCTATTTTTGTTAATGACAGACTGATAGTAGTGATAGACCATCTGGTTCATACAGACTGAGTCACAGGGTTTGTTGCTGGCTGGTGCTCTGGTGTGGTTTGCTTCTTCTTTCCTATCAAACATCTATATATTATTGTCTTTATCTCCCCTCCTTTTTTGTGTTTGTTACTCTCTTGTAAGTAACACTTCTAATCCTCGGCACTTATATTATAACCTTATAATTGTGTTCCAAGCGCCGTAAAACTCTTACTAAAACTGGCTGAGTTTACTGAGTCACAGGTGGCTCTACGTGTAACTTCCCGACCTCTCTCATTGTGCTGCTGGTGACAGGGCAAAGTGCTGGTTCTAACCACACCCTGCCATGGCATTTTTCAGGAAGATCACGTTACGTTTCTTGATATGACTTAGAATTTTTAGTACAGGAGTCAAAACCAGGACGAATGTCTCAAATTACCTTATTGATTGACTTGAGTAATTTTCCGTCCCAAATTCCCTTACAGGGAAATGATGTCAAATTTTGCTTCTAACAGTTCTGCTGTGTTCATGATGAGATACTGTCTCTTCTTAAGACAATTTTGTTATTTGGCCTCCCTCTGTTACTCTATTGCCTGAAGAATAGAGGAAGGTGCAGTAGTTATAAAGGTGGTAGAGAAAGTGAGGAGGACGGGGGGAGGGGCGGTAGGGTATTCCTTAGGCTATACTTGTACGTAATGCTCGTTATTGAATCTTATGAAGTTGTTCATTTTGCTACGTTGTGACATAACATAAATTGCCTTTAGTAGTTACCTCCCCATCTCTCCTCCTTTTGCATCGGCTTATTTTCATTGTCCTCAGTGGCTGTTAGATGAAGCAGATGCAGACATCTCCGTGCGAAGTGCCAACGGCGCCCTCCCGCTCCACTTTGCCGTGTTTGGAGGAGACGTAAACTGTATCAAGATACTCATAGACGAAAACCCCAGGTGAGATTTTTCACTCTCTCTCATATACTCATGATAAATTGCTAATTTGGGTTGTAGTCAGTGAAGTTATATTAGCATTAAAGTTCAGATTTCTGCGTACTTAATTTTCAAAATTTGTACCTTGACTAAACTTGATTTTTTAGATAAAAATCAATCAACCAATGGAAAGCTCAGTTTGATTTTTTTGCATTGAAAATATAATTAAAACATTTTACATAGTTTTGAATTTGAAATCAGTATAAGTAACCCTCAATGGGATGGGTGGCAATGGTTGTGGGGCAATCGGTTATTATCTTGATCTACATTTCAGAAGTTTATGGTTTGAGTTTGAATACGTGTGGGGTCTGAATTATTTTTCTGTTCTTTTTAAAAATTATTTTTCTCCGAGCAGTATCCTGATAGGGTACTAAGCACTGTCTCTTGGAAATGACTGTTTTTTGTGTCTGGTTGACAAGCAAACTTAACATCTGTGACTGAGAGAAGATGCTAGTAGGCTGTTCTCTTTTCTTTCTGACCACTGCAATTTTCTTTTTGTTGACAAATTGATCTATTTCTAGGAACATGTCCTATTTTCTGCTTTTTTTTCAGATTAATTAATATGCAAATGAACAATGGAATCACGCCTCTGTACCTTGCTTGCCAGTCGGGATTCCTTGAAGTTGCAAAATTCCTGGTCAGTCGCAATGCAGCGTCAAAAATCAAAGCATACGATGGGATGTCGTGTCTTCACGCAGCGGCCCAGTTGGGATGTACGGACGTGGTGCAGTGGTTGGTGAGTGCTGGTTGTTAGGGTTGTTGTTGTTGTTGTTGTAGTTGCTGTTGTTGTTGTTGTTGTTGTTGTTGCTGTTGTTGTCCTTCCAGCAACTTGTGGGTTTTTCTGTGGCCCAGTGCCGTTTCGTGATATCTACAAATCTGTGGCCAACTGTTTAGATGCACTTAGCCGAAGTTTGGTAACTTCTGTAGCTTGAGAGTCTTTGAAAACTGAAGAATTACATATTTTTGTGCTTTTAATCTACCTTTCTTCAGTAAAATTCACATGACATTGAAATGTGTTTTTATATATGGACTTAAAAGGTGTTGAGCTAAAAAAATTGGTTTTGATAAAAATTCCCAAACTTGCGGAAAAAAGGCCCTTTTCTTCGATTTCATTATTTTGACAAGCGCCTGATTTCCCCACGATACCTCACAATGATGTCACTACGACCCTGTTCTCAGGTGAAGGAGGATGGCTCCAACCCCAACGACCGGGACTTTGACGGAGCCACTCCGCTGCACTATGCGGCTAGTCGGGGCCACGCCCACCTGGTGTGCTGGATGATGCGGCACGGAGGGTTCAAGGTCACGCTGGACAACCTCGGGGGAAGTCCGCTCCACAACGCGGCAGAGCTCGGGGAGATGCAGGTGAGACCACAATACTTTTATGCTGGGGTGGAAGTTTTTCTTTAAAATATTTCTAATTTGCTTTTGTATATATATATCGTCGGCGGAGAATTCTAACCGTCCAACTCCGATTTCGTAAATTTTACAGGAGAGACAAAAAACTGAATTCAAAGGCTCCTATGGGGATTTACTATCTTTAAATGCGCTAGACTGGAATACATGACTCTACTTTTAAGTATGTAAAACAAAAGTGCCGAAATTTTAGTATTTAAAGTGCTAAACCAGAGTTATACGGATAGACCGCTCAGTTTTGGATTTTTAACCGTCCAAGTGTCGACGAACGAATTGTTCGTTTAGAATTCTCCAACCCGGCGGGGACGCCACGCGCTTCGTTACGTCTAACTCAGTCATCGTGACACGTTAGTGTTACCGAACAACTCGAAATGACTACACCTGCAGTCAATCCAACAGGAAGCCTA